AATGTAGATGTAATGTCGTTCGAAGAAAAATATGAGCAGTACCGCAGTATATGCAAGTATTGAAGCAGAAAGTATTTTCTGCCTCAACGCGTTTTTCCACCTGGTCAATCATTTCTTCGCTGTTTTTCTATTAGGTCCCCAGACACTAAATGTTTCATGACGATAGCGGCTACACGGCGAAACGAACATTCTGCTTTAATAAACCTCACATTAAGAGACTACTTCGGACGTTTTAAGTGTTCGCAAAACCGTCAAATGCCTTAAATCTTAATTGCATGATAATTAAAGATAAACCCTTACGAGAGTAAATATGGCACCTATATCCGAAATGGAGAAAATCTCTATAAATTTTTGCTAAAAGTTGTTTCGTTTTAAAGGTATTGTCAGACTTAACGTATATTTGAATAACATCAGCTTCAGACAGACTCTGGAAAGGTACTGCGCATCAGAATCCCAAGTAATTGCAGCTGTTTAATGTAGATAATTCCGAAGACCTACCTCTCCTTGCTTAGTCTACGAAGTGTTACCTTGAAGGTTCGCGAGTAGCTTTCGTCGAAGACGCATCGGAATTTACATTCCTTCCTCCGTGAAAGCCACAAATGTTCGACTATTAATGTGATCCAAGTGTTGGAGAGCGGGATAAACTAAATTTAAGGATTTTATTCGACTGAAACGATATTGATGGAAGTAGTGTTGATAGTGGCTATACTAATGAGTCGACAAAAACATGTAATAACGGAGGCATAAATGAATTGCTTGTTGAGCGTCAAAGATGAAGAGGAGAAAGAAGATGCAAAGGAGGAGGATGAAGGTGAAAAGGAGGAGGATGAAGGTGAAAAGGAGAAGGAAGATGAGGAGGATGATGATGAAATTGAATAGAATGAAGAGCAGAAAGAATCATCCTCTTCACATTCCTCTTCCTTCCCCTCATCTTCCTCCTCCTCTCTTTCACCTTCCTCTCACATCGTCTTTCTCCCCATCACTTTCCTCCTTTTACCTTGTTCGACTGAAACGGTATTGATGGAGGTATTGTTGATAGCAATTACAATAATGAGGGGTGAGTCGACAAAAAAACAATGGAATAATGGGGGGGAATAAATAAATTGCATTTAGGACGTCGTCGAAGAGGAGGGGTAGGAAGAGGAAGGGAAGAAAGATGAAGGAGAGAAAGAGGAAGATGAAGAGGAGGAGGATCGTGTCGTCCTCTTCATCCTCATCATCATGGACGATGTCCAATACACAATACATTTTCATCTTAATTTAGTTTATTCCGCTCTGCAAGACGTGGGTGATGCTCGTGAGTGAGTTGTAGTACGTCGTTTAGGAGAGAGTCAACCGGGACTTGAATAATATTGAAAGAAGAGTAAGAGGAGATTGAAGAAGTGGACATGAGAATAGAGCAGAATTTTAGCGCAAATAGCGGTGCACTTGGCACTATTCCATGATGCACACAAAACAGAGTCATCAGATGTTTCTATGTATCGAACTTGAGATATGATAACCCCCCCCCATGACTAAAAGGCCACATGGTGTACGATATGCTTTGGCTTGGGGAAGCTGAAAGAAAGTCAGCGCATTTTTCGTAGTAACATACAACTTTGTGACAAGAAACGTGATTTTAAGGAGAATCATAGAAAATGCTTGGGTTTAAGCAATTAGCAATTGTGTAAATAATCATAGATTAAGTAATATTTAGACGGCAATGAAATATTTCAAAATTATTTCACACTCATCCCATTGATAACTGTTTTTGTGTTCTATATATGTTATACAATTATAACTACTTTCCAGAGCATTAAATTTATTTGTTTCAATAACTTATAGTAAACCCTTATAAATATTGCATTAGAGTTTTATATCGAATTGAATTTAAATTTAACCAACACTACATTCAAAAGTCACATTAATAATAATAATAATAATAATAATAACAATAACAACAATAACAACAACAACAACAATAACAACAATAACAACAATAACAACAACAACAACAACAACAATAATAATAATAATAATAATAATAATAATAATAATAATAATAATAATGAAACCATTGACATCCTTGGATGGCAATTGCGACGAAGAAGACGAAATGAACTAAAAAAGAAGAGGCAGGGTGGAGGGTGGGGCAGAGGCGGCCTTGGTAGCAACAGGGCTGCCGGAGACTGTCATGATGGCCTGCCGCGTTTTCGCGACTCACGCCTCCAAATGACGGCCGCGCCGCGAACCTGCTTGCGGGAGCCAGAGCCGCAGGGGGGGGGGGCAGGGTCACGTGGTGCGCGCGAGGCGATGGCGGCTCCCACTGGCGTCGCCCCGCTGCACGACCCCCAAGCGCGCCAAGGCTGGCGTGCGGCGGCCAGGCGCATCAACGCCCTGGCGGATCCAGGGGGCCATGCCTCACCACGAAAGGCCTAGAATTCTCGTTCGCCTTCCTTTATTGCGCAAAATTAATTTTAATATTTACTTATGATTACTTTATGTAATTATTTAAATAATATTATTGTATAGTAACATATCTTCAGTACATTAATAATACACAATATAATAATAAATATGTTTATTTTTTAACAAATTTCTACGATGCCCCCTCCACCGAAAAAGTGATCGGTTGGATCCCCCTTGCCTCATTGTGCTTTAAAAACAAACGAATGGATGTATATTGTGTTATTTTGCATTTGTCATTAACGTAATAACGCTTATAACCAGAAAATTAGGCACTGATAGCGGGTTGAAGAATGTAAACCGAGGTGATAGCCTAACTTCATAACCGAACGACTGTCTTGTGGGACTTGTGTCGCTCAATACGTTTGGTATTACTACGATCTTCATGTAAGAAAAAACTGTATAGATAAGGAACATAATTTCTTGTAATAAAGTAAGTCCTACGCCACCTTTAGTTACAACTCAATTCTTTTGGTTGTTCTCAACGGAGGATGGATTTACACCCAGGATTTACAGACAAAACGTTTGGTGCCTTTCCGATTTGGTTTGGCTTATTTCGAAGAGCTTTCCAGTTTGTCAATCTTCGGCAATTTCAAAATTTCCTTACTGCATTCCATCCTCGAAAGGAGTGGCAACCAACACTTCCTTCGATAGCATCACATTTTGTAGCTGGGTTTTGTTCGCCACGATAAATCTTACTTGTACTAAAAAGCAAGAAAACTCAAAAAGGACATTCATAATACAGTGTACCACACCAACTGTAGCCAAGTAGCCAGAAAGCCTCTAAAGCTAAATGCATAGGTACAAGCCAACGAGCACTCGAACATTAAAATTCAAGAACATGAAAAACGTTAAACTGTCAATATAAACAACTCCATCACTAAACAGACGTTAAAATACCAACACATTATGAATTGAAATGAAGTTATAATATTAGACAAAGAAAATAAGTGCAGGAAACGTCTTAGGTCTGAGATGATAAATATACATAAAACGTAAAATACGCTGAATATTCAAACAAACACTGACAAATTACAACATGCTTAAAAAATATTGTTACGATAATCGAAGAAAGATTCTATGTACAGTGGAAAAATAAACTTATTGTTACTATGGTTAATATTGTATCATTTTATTATTATTATTATTATTATTATTATTATTATTATTATTAATATTATTAGTACTGTATAATTTGCATGTTAGATATATTATATTTATGTAATTAACTGCCATCGCTTTATATCCAATTGCAGTTTGAATAAATGTATTATTGAAAATACTTAAGTAATACCAACTAACCTAGGTAAATAACAGTTAGTTGATGCATACTGGTAAGTTGGTAACACTGGAACTAAACAATTCTGAATACGAATCGTCCTTTCATACAGACAGACGGTGTACCCCGTTAACTATAATATACACTGGATTCAGTGGTAAATGTTGGATGAATCACATCCAACATATCCGTATGTTACTTTTAATTAATTTGATGCAAAACAGAACTGAAGGTACGCTGTCTGAATAATTATTTTATTTGTAATAGTTCCTGTACATAATGGTCTAAGGGTAATTATTGTGTTCTGCTTGTATAGAATAAATACGTAGTACCGAGGAAGAATACAGAGACATAAGATTCGAAACATGTAGCAGGGAAATTGATGAATAAACTGTCCGTAATTGGTTCAAGAATTCATTATTAAACACAGACACTATTTAGAGTCAATCTTACTTCTTTAAGACATAGTAAGAAACCAAAATATAACCAACCAATAATAATCGGCAGCCGTTTCGGTGCACCTTGCATCTATATTGAAAACCTGTGTGAGGTTTAGGCCAGTGTTGTTAACAGACGGATGGATCAATGGGTTACCAAAAATAAGAACCATCAAAAATGTAGATTCTGACTACAATATGCATTCTAGAAAGAAATTTACTGTAAATAGAAACTAGAATATTCCACTTTCTCCGTATTAGGGATCTTCACAAGGAGTGATTCTGTCGTAAAATCAAATTACTTTCCCTGCAACAGTACTGCGTACTGAGTACTGAGTCTCTGGAATGAGTAGTAGTATGAGAATGGAATAAAATTGTAGCGTCTCTCTGTTATTTCTAAAAATGTTTAGAGTTTGTTAGGTAGTGGTACTGCATTCTTCGAGTATTTATTGGAAAAAAGCACGGAAAACTACTGAGTAGAGCAGGCTGCCGTTAGAATTCTCCGACAGATAGCCACTTAATTGGACCTATACTTCAATACTGACCGACGACATAAGGTCATTGTTACAACTCCTGCTTTATAAAATGAATCTTTTTAACAGTAATATGTACATTACTGAGACAAGTTGAGAAGGACGTTCGCGAATTAATTAAAAAGATTAATTTTATAAGGGAGGAGGTGTAACAATGACGTAATGTCATCGGCGCTGTAGAAAACTTGCAGTGCAGCTAGAGGAACACCTAGCTAATGTGGCAAATCGGTCCCTTCGAGACTAGCAACAGTGGCTGCACAGCGCCACCTGCGACTGGGTGACCGCAGAGGGGAAAGAGTCGCTCACCTCCAGAAGTGCGGCGCGAAGCCCGGGCACGCGTCCCCGCACCTCAGGCAGCGGCGCTCGGGGTCCTCGGCGGCGGCGGCGGCGGCGGCAGCGGTGGGGGCGGCGGCAGCGGGCGGCGAGGAGTGAGGCGGAGGAGGCCGTTTAGGCGGCCGCACATCGGCGGCGGGCCTGCAACGCACAGCCAATAAATAAAAATATAAATAAAATAAATAAAATAAATAAAATAAATAAAATAAATAAAATAAATAAAATAAATAAATAAATAAAATAAATAAAATAAATAAAATAAATAAAATAAATAAAATAAATAAAATAAATAAAATAAATAAAATAAATAAAATAAATAAAGACGTTCAGATGGCCGAGATCACTAAGACAGTAGTGCGGTCTCAGACCAGAAGATCGTGGTTTCGAGTCCAGCCTCGGGCATGGGTGTATTTGTGTTTGTATGTGTGCATTGTCCTTTCACCCCACACTGTCATCATTTCATCTTTCATACCCCCAGGGCTAACAACTCTATGGGATAAAAATCGGATGCAGCTAAATGCTTATCTCTTGACAAAGATTACATGAACCTGTTACCGAGATGTTACTGAGCCCAGATATGATATATGATATAGATATACTTACAAATGTCAATTGTTTCAATGTAAGAATTTCATATCTAAAGACATAAATGTAGGGGTAAGATGGCCAGTATGGCAATGTTACCCTGAAAGTAGTATATGCCATTTATATATTTTGCTTTCCTTGTAAGTAATAATTATTATTACTAGGGTCACGACATACCGTGTCTAGGATATGTCATATTTACTTATCCATGCCGCTTATTTCAACTCAATTGACCCAAAATTAACGAGGTTTGGATTACGAGATTTTGCTTCATCACAATACACCATGCATATTTACAGACATTTCTTGTTATAACTGTTAACAAATGCATACAATGTTTCGAAGAGAGGTTGCTAACTATGAGAAACTAGCAAATAAATTTACGATACAGATCCCTCTACACACATTTTTCGAAGTTGTTCCAATGTTTCACCTCTGACAATGTTACCCATAGTTATCTTACACGTCCTGAGAAAGATGGTTACTGATGACAGTAGTTTTGTGGAAGGTTATGGATTTGTTTTATTATCACTTATATCACATTTTTTTAACAGTGTGCCATGCAGTTGTAGCTCGAAAACCTCTTAACTAACAGAGTAATCTGCCACACATCCATCCGTCCGTCAATCCGTCCATCCGATTTTCGGGTACAAAAGTGCTTTAGCACTCCCCCTTCTGCATCAATCGTAACCATCTTTGAAACCGCACTTATAGACCCCAATGCTGATGTGTGTGCGAGTTTACAGGAGAAACAGAATACGGATTTTACGACCGACATTCGAGATCATTTGTTGAGTTTTTTAAAATAATGTTCCTCCTTATAATAAACAATAGGGAAGTCCGTCCATACGTTCTTCAGTCCGTCCAAATGTCCTACATGATACGAGAACATTATGCCGGTGCCATTACACCATTAGCAATAATTACATTGAGCAAACGCTTCATTTGTGAATTTGTCTGTTGTTATGAGGGATTTAAGGCTAACAGCGCTTAGATGGGGGGTGTCACTTCTATACAATTTCATAGTAAAGCTACTTCCATGTTAATACTTGTGTGAACTAATTTACCGAGCAATATGAATTTGGCGAAGCATTCCCAATTCACTCTTATTAACAGAAAACAGAAATATACAAGGTGCAACTCATGCGAACAATACAAGCGTCGCAGAATTAACAAGCTTCGTTTCATTACGCAGCAACTTTCCAGCTGACAAGTGAAACCTAACATTAAAAAGTCGCAATCAAAAATAGCTGATTAGAGAACCCCTACGCAGGGTAAAAAGTATGCAATATACTTAGACAGTTATTCAGCGAAAGGGAGAGAGAGAGAAGAAAAAGAGTGATCCAAAGAACACTACCGTTATTCATGCAAATTCCTTCGCCGATGGGACGACTGGCAAATGTGTACAAGTACGCGTTCTCTTGCTCCGCGCCTGCTGCCGTCAGTTGGAAGAGTCTCGTGGCAAAACGAAAAACGAGAGAAGCACAAGGAACGTGTAACAAGCCCGGACAGCGACGCGTCGCCTTAGTGTCAGCGGAGGTGAGAAGCGGTTTAATTGAAAGAGGAGCCAGCGGAGAGGCGGGTTCGCGCAAACCGCTGGAAAGGGCGCTGTGGTGTTACCATCGGCTTCTCATGATACGCTTTCCTCTTTCTATTGCGAGAGCTCTCAATTACAATTTTTTTTCTTAGGGCTTTTACCTAACAGACAGCCGAGACCCTTTACGACCCGATGGAACGCATATTCGACCATACACTAGGCACCAATACTCTTGTGGGCTCAACTGACATGGGGTCAGCAGAACGCGAGGCTCTACACGTACACGAAATACAAGGGACAATCGTGCCCAAGGCTGCTGCCCCGGCCAATGCTCGGGGTCTCGAACCCGCGACACGTCGGACAGAATCGTCGAGTCGGAACACGCTCTTAGCCCCCTCGGCCATCCACGTCGGAAATTACATGACTAAAAACTAATTTTTAACTGCGCATAAATTAACAGAAAATTACACTACCTTCGGCCATATGAAAGGTGTCTATGGTTTTGTTACGTAACCTAGAACTCGATAAAAACCGCGAATCAATAAAACCGTATATTTTTGACTGAAAACTGCAAATATTTCATGTTAATATTTCCACATACTTCGCATATTTGCTGAATTCTCATCCTCAGGAGTCAGCTACTATGGTTATTAGTCCCGTGCATGTGCATTTTATATCCCGAATATGAGATACGGCGCCGACCTAACCACCGGCTCGAGAGGTTTTCCTCTCCAGGAATCTCCGCCAACAGGTCACCTACGTCTCGGGACAAGTTCAAAGCTCTCGACTGGTCACCCGAGTGTAGTACTGGGGTGCTCATAAATGAGGCCAAGGATGAGAAAGGAAAGATTGCAGACGCCGTTTGTCAGTGTACTGCTCCGGCATTTGCCTGGTAATGATTAGAGAACCCACGGAATCCACCGATCAGAGCTGCCATTTGGTGTAATTTTTCCCCAGTCAGTGACGAAATTGGACCAGGATATTTCAGGTAAAAAAATTCGTCACCGTTGAAATCCTAGGACACCTGGGTCAGGGTCACTGTTGAGTCAGACGTAATTGTTGTCGCCGTCATGAGTAAACTCAACCGGTGTGTTTGGTGCTTGAAGGGTTTCGGTGGACCTACATACCCGTATTCAGAATCCCCGCGAGGATGTTGCAAGGAGCCGTTTCTTCCGGAACCTGAGACGAGACAACCCACGCACGCTTGTCTTCGTTCATTCACGTTGGTTCGACGTGGCCTGTCACCTAATCTCCAAGGCAGCAGATTAATTACAAAACGTGTCTTTTCCTGACTCCTTTCTGGCAAGCCTTGCATAATACTCCATCTACATTTACAGGACGTGGCAGTCTGTCGCGGCCGCAACACAATTATTTTTTACAGGTTTCTATGAAATCTGGAAATGGAAATAGGAAGAAAAATCACTACATAACTTCATAAAAAGACGAAAAAGCACTACATGTATATCTGAGAATACTCTAAGAGCTTGTCCATTCAAAGCAATGAAGATAATAATATAAAACAGAGAAAGGTGCAAAATAACCCCTCCCAACCATCTGTCGTGTATTGAGAATTAAAAAGTATTTCGTAACAGAACAGTCGAATAAGTGCGAGAAGACGTGAACGATAATGCAAATGAGGAAAATATAACAGCCATCTCATTACCCTAAATGTCCAAATACTACAAGGGAATAATAAGGGTTGATCGTATGAATCACGACATCGTAAGAAGGAGAAACAGAAGAAGAAACACAATCAAGGAAACGACATGACAGTGACCGACCATCGTAAATGGAAGAGGAGAGGAGAGGAGAGAAGAGGAGAGGAGAGAAGAGAGAGGAGACGGAGAGAAACACTCCACAAGCTATTCAACTCTGGAATGAAGATTACAGCGCACGATTCGAAGAACACACTCGTACTTCCTCCAGTCTGAACTGTTCATCAAATTCGAACCTGTGTGTCTGACGAGCTCCTCACCACCTAGAGATTCGCATTACTTTGCTATTTTTTTCTTCCAGAGCAATTTTTGAACCGCGGGATAATGAAGAACCCCCCTTCAACATGACTGTTCCGAAAACAACACACAAGAATCAACTCGGGCACACGCTATAACCTCAGGCACACACAGAGTCCGCAAAAGAAAATTAACGAGTATGCGGATGGCATACTTTCTCTTAACGACGATTTAATTGCTATGAAAATATTAACGCTGCCACCACTTAAGATATCTGCGAAACAAAGAGGCAGTAAGCTCGTCCTCGTCGTCTTCGTGGTGCGAGGGCTCCGCTCTGAAGGACGGCCGACGTCCCGTGTGCTTCTGCGGTGGACGAAAGGGGAAGCGAGAGATTTCGCAGATAGCTCCCCCAGTAAAGTCCTGAGAGCGAGGCGGACTATTAAGAGCGCGGATATCCAGCTGAGGCCGAGATGCGAGATACGTTTCACAGACGCTCTCCGCTGAAGTTACCGCTGGCGGGTAATGCCAGTCATTCAATCCCCGTTACACCTGCGTTATTTATTCTGCCTCTTCAATTAATGGAGTCATAACTTTGGACACGGGTTTCCGTTGTAAATAGCTCCAGACAACACAATAAAAATATAGATAGGTTCTTGTTTACGTTTTGAAAGTTAAACTCTTGGACATTAAGTCGCCATTTCACTTCAAAACAACTACATTACAAAAGACCAAATCTATTGTAGTGCGCCAGGAAAGTCTTCGCACTGAGCCAAGCCAGGGCCGCCCATTAAAAATTGCATTTATGTTGGTAGCAACCAAATCAATTGGAACCGAATGAAGGTGACAACACTTACAGCATCTGTTATGATTGTTGTGAGTACACGACTTACGTTTTGATTTGTTATAAGCTTCCGCTCGTGAAACCAATATAATTTCTGTTCCTAGTGCTCTCGCCAGCTAGATGCAGCTTGACTTTCCTGATGGAGTGTAGTATTTGCAGAAAATCATTTCATCAACCGTATTAATGCACCTATGTCTATAAACGTCCTAAAAAATTATGTTTTTTT